TTGTTACACATATAGCTTTTATATATATATATATATAGTGACATGTTGCTCAATATAGAACACCCCTCCCTCCCCAGCGGTACGTGGCGGCATCGTAGCACTGTCGTTACTATGGTAATAGGCAAGCCAACACCCTGCCCCTCTCCCCGTGGTGACGTAACACGCAACGCTGCAATTGCTGCGTACCCGTAAACTCCCAACAGCGTTGCTACATAACAGGCAGACACTGCGACTGTATAAGGGAACTACACAGCCGCCGGAGTCAGTTAAAAGTGTATCAGCCGCCGAAGTGAGTTCTCCAGTCAGCAGTGAAAGAGTTAAAGTGTATCAGCGGCCAAAGACAGTTCTCAAGTCAGCAGTGAACAGTTCTCAAGGCAGCAGCCAACGATTTAAGTTGGAATCTAGCCAGCAGTGAGCCATTAGAGTTGAGTTGGAATATAGCAGCCGTCGCGGAAAGAAGAACCAGACGTGTCTGTAATTGTGTAAGTGGGAGTGTGTGATACAGTGACGCTTGTATAGCTCCCGTATCGTAATTAATACGTGTAGACTACTGAGAACAGTGTGAACAGATTATTGCGAATAGGTTTATAAAGTGAAATNACACGGGGTGAAAACAAATCTAGAATGCTGATACTACACACACCTGCTTGGTCCAAACCAAACGTTAACAGAACAAATAATAAATAAACTGATATCAGAATATTAGAGTTAATTTCACCGACCACACAACATGTTTTTATTATTGTCACACTATGTTTCGACCTCAAGAGGTCATCCTCAGGTGTATGAACACAGCTGCACAATCACACGCAATCACATTCGTTTTTACACTTATTTTCATCCTGTATCCTGTTCAGGTCTACGCTCAATAATGCGTGTCAAGTTCTTCTTATAAAATACAAGTTAAAATACTATTCCAAATGTTAAAATTTAAAATTTTAACTTTTAACATTTGGAATTTAAAATTTAAAATTTTGACTTTTAACATTTGGAATAGTATTTTAACTTGTATTTTATAAGAAGAACTTGACACACATTATTGAGCGTAGACCTGAACAGGATACAGGATCAAAATAAGTGAAAAAACGAATGTGATTGTGCGTGATTGTGCAGCTGTGTTCATACACCTGAGGATGACCTCTTGAGGTCGAAACATAGTGTGACAATAATAAAAACATGTTGTGTGGTCGGTGAAATTAACTCTAATATTCTGATATCAGTTTATTTATTATTTGTTCTGTTAACGTTTGGTTTGGACCAAGCAGGTGTGTGTAGTATCAGCATTCTAGATTTGTTTTCACCCCGTGTCCATTTCAGATCTTGACTGGAACAGTGGCTATTCTCTTGAAGGCTTTAGTTTTCCTCAGTCCCATGCAAATGCCAGAATCGTACCTTCATTAGTCCACAGCCTCTTCTTTCCAAATCATTTCCAAGTCGTCATTGTCCGCTCATCCAGCCATTCGAAACTCTGTAGACTGAGTTATTGACTGTATTTGGTTATTGTATGATTTAGTACAGTATTTTGTTCCTCACTGTTGGAATTCATGATGTTTTTTTCACTATATCAGAATTTAAAATTTTGTCTCTTTATTATATGCATGAGATGCGCCCTGATGATCCTAGTACTTTTCTGGTCAATGTCCACCTTGGCTTGAAAAGGCAAGAAATTTGCTATTTTTAGGTGTTTATATATGACAGCTCTATATTTTTTATACTCATGGATTTTTCTTTTATTCCAGGATGTAGTTGTGTACTGCAAGAAGCAGTTGAGCTGTATCTATTTAGAAACTACTTGTGTCCTGTAAGTCATTTTCCATATTATTCTAATGTGGATGCCAACTTTAAAGATTTGTATTAATCAACTGAAAATTATTTTCCCATATATTTATTTAACCTGTTCCACCATTGTACATAGCATCAGATCCATATTATTGCCATGATAATTTTCTGTGCTCAGTTACCAGTGGTTAGATCTTACATGAAATGTGCAGGACTTACAATGCACACTCTCCTTGAAATATTTCAGTCTGTATGGTCATGTTCGCAAGAATATTGAATTAATACTAATACATTTTACACTGCATTTTCTTGAGAACAGTTTAATTTCTCAAATAAATTATAAACCGTATTTATGCATGTATAGGCCGCACATTTTTTGCCAAAAATTCAAGAGGAAAACTGGGGTGTGGCTTATATTCGAAATGTTCGAAATCACACTTCATTTAAAAAAAATTATATTCATAATTAGTAATACGGGGTAATACTCGTGAAATAATATTCCAAGAAAATTATTTTTTCTATAATTTCTGTCTGAAAATTATGCTGCGGCCTATACATGCGTAAATACAGTATTTGATTTTTCAAAATACTTGTAGTGTATGAAAATAATTTGGTGTGATTTTAATTGGTCTTTAAAGAAACTTAACATTACTGAATGGAAATATCTTGTGTGTACAGATTCTATGTACTTTAAATTTGTCAGATATATCCTCAATGTTTAACACCATTGCCGCTTATGACCTACAAACAGTATTTCACATGTAATGTGTAGGTATGTTTACAATCTGTCTCATATCAAATTTCACATTTGTACCTTAGTTACTGTTATCGAACCAGACGTTAAAGAACATTTTTGCAGAGCCACCAAGTTATTATTTCACATTCTACGAAGAAATTACATGTGTAAAAGTGGCATATTTTTTAAGGTCTGTTGCCATACATCATATCAGAGTCGTGTAACAAATGAGAATAATGTCACTGCATCCCCACTAGTCCATGTGTCTGCCATATTGTTATTTCTGACTGTTGGAAGTTAACCCTTATCATCCTTGCATTGCACAGCTGTGTCACTGCATGTGCAAGTCCAGCTGGCCTAGCCTCATATTGTTTACAGTGTAAACCATATTCCTGTCAAGTTAAAATCTGACTATCACAATCATAGTAACAGGAAATTTAAATTCCATATTCCTGGACAGTGAAGGGAAGGCATTGGTGTGGTCTGCAGTGGTATTAATACCAAGGTTCGTGAAAATGATTAACTTTGGTAACGTTCAAAGGAGGAACATAGACATACATACAGACAGCATGGTGATTTTATAAGCTATTTAATGTTATTGAGAAAGGAGAGTAGACTGAAAGTTGTACAGTGTGTAGTGCGTGTAATTGATGCTGCCTAAAAATGTTTATTGTCTATCTTAATTGGTGTGGTACTGTAGGTATTAATTGGCCATTGCTCTCACTTGTGTTACTAGACTTTCACCTCTCCTCTCTTTTTTTAAACTATATTAGCATATAACTGACACTTGAGATAATTGCAGATAGCAATTAAATTTACAAGTCTCTATTCAATTATTTCCCCATTAAAAATATCATGTGGATTTTGTGTAACATGTTTGATGTTTCTCTTAGGCACCCAAGAAAACACTCTATTGTAAGTTTGAAGAGCCTGCCATGTGAACTAAACGTTACTGGGTTGTGAGATGTGTGGAGGATTGCTAATCCCTGCAGCTATGCAACCTACAATACTTTCTTCTTGTCTTTTCTTTATGTTGACCATTTTACTGGGTTGCAAGTCAAGCACAGCAGAGAGTTCAGGTGAGTTTAAGTTCCTTTATTACTCTCTTTTGTGAAAACATACTTCCTCCTATATTTTACATAAAGGTAAAGTGCCATATACAGGTATTTTGTTTATCACCAAGTGGAGATGGCCTTCAGACAGGGAAGGTAGTTGCAAATATGTTGAATAAACAGGCTTGAGCAGCTGTTGAGGTTTGGTCTTGAGCTAGTGGTTTTGGCATGGGACTATTAATAACCCCCTTACAATAAGTAAACTAATATGCACAAATTATCCCAAAACATGTCAGATTTGGACAGCTTGTTTGGGGTGATCTAAGCAGCGGGAATGTAGATTAGCTTTGGAACTTGGACTGTCAAGAGCCTGCATGGAGGTTGGTTGAAATCAGCAAGAGAATTAGCAAAGCATAAGATCTAGGGGACATCAAGGTCAGATGGTACAGGCATGAAACATGACCAGGTCATAAGGAAAATGGAATGATAGGTAGCACGTATGGTTAGGCTTGTTCTTGTGTAAGAAAATCACATCAGCAATTAAGAGGGTATAGTTTAATGGCAGCAAAATGTGTAAGAAATTGTCGTCGTGATATTGATCTGAATGTGAACACTCTGACTGAAGATAGAAGGATGACAGAAAGGTTAATTCTTTTGGATGCCAAGAGAGTGTATTTGCACAGTTTCCCTATGCATCACATGAATATTTTACAATACAAAGGTACGGTAGGAAGATATCTTCAAACTTAAAATTGAGAATGGGAGTGTATTAGATTAGTAATCCTAATAGAATATATATTGTTAATCCAAAATTGCCTACAGGGAGGTCCTTACCTTTGTTGACCGGTTCATGGCAAATGGTGCACCACTGGCTGTGAGGCACATACAAATTTTGCCAGGGAATCAGTATGCCTGATGACGTTTGGAATTAAGGGAAGTTATTAATTTTGTGGATCACTTGATGGGCTTATGTTTCATGTCAAGCAGTGTAGCTCATGCGTGGGAATTTATGATTTGTTGTCAGTGGATAGCAGTAATCAGTGCCATTAGCCATTTGTTCTTGGTTACAATTAGTAGTGTGTTACATCATGGTACAGTATACTTAAGAGCAACACATAACTCTGTATGAGATGTATGTGAAATATGGATCTGCTGGAAAGTGTTGGTGAAAATTTAGACATAAATTCCTTGATGAAAGAGCTCCCACCAGGCAAACTTACATCAGTGGGACATTTAATAGACAAGAAACAAAAACATAAATGCTGGGGCCTACTAAGGAAAGGGTAGATGATATAGGAGCCAGACCTGAACATACGCCTAAAAAGTCATTGAAACGTCTAGCTCAAAAGACTGGCATGCCAAAGTCTAGTGCAAGAATGGCAGCACAATTGCTAAAGCTTAGAGCATATACATCAACAAGTAATCCATGCCTTGCAGCTGCAGAATCCAGCTTACAGGCTTCATTTTTGCAGTTGGTTTCTGAGGTCTGTCATCGAAGGTGAGGTTGTTCCACAATTTGCATTCCCTTCTGAAAAACCATGGTTTGACTTGCAGGGGTACATAAGTATACAAAATAATCACTACTGGAGTATGCAGAATCCATATCTAACCCACAAAGACATGTTTCATCCAGTGAAAATTGGTATCTGGTGTGCTCTCAGTTGAAGAAGGATTGTTGTACCTGTGTGTGTGTGTGTGTGTTGTCTGTGTGTGTGTGTGT